GTGACTGGCTTAAATGGGAAACCTGAATGTGCAATATCATCTTTGTCTAAACACCAAACTGTGTGACTGAGAAGCTCCCTGTGGGTTGTACATTTTAGGGGAGAGGAGGCAGGGGAAGAAGGGAGGAGGTGCAAGAGAAGAAAACTGCTTTTCTTTCTGTCCCTTTGTTTTGTTTTAATTTCAGTTTTTTAACCTACTAGGTAGGAGCTCTAATGCTCTACTTTGTGCAGTGTCAAATGTTTTTCTTGTTTTCAACAAAATAAAAAGTTACGATCTACCTTCCATTTATACCACAAAGATTTCTAGATTTTATCTGGAGAAAATTACCTATTTGGTACAACCCTAAGAAGTCCACCAAGGCCGCGAAGCCCAGGGCCTCATCTACACAAGTGGAGTCAGCTGAGAGAAAAGGAGAGCCCGTGTTTGGAATCTACCAGATGAGAATATGAAAACTTGAAACTGAAAAAGAATATCAAGTATAGAAAATATTGCCATAATCATAAATGAATAGTCCTCTACATTTTCTTTATGTTTCTGATTTGATGGCAAAAAAGAAACTGACTCATGACAACGAACAGTTTGCTCTTCCACTGAGAAGTGTGGCAGGCCATGCTGGGACCTGAGGAGCAGGGCCCCAAAGAGTAAATTCCTGCATCAGGGTCTCAGTGGTCTTCTTCCCCAAGGTGTTTCTAGCTCCTGGGTTGGGGTTTGGCTGCGAGAGATGTCACCTTTGAATTTGGGAACAACTAATATCCAGAATTAGTATTTTATTTATTATTGAAGTATAGTTGGTATACAGTGTTGCATCAGCTTTAGTGTTCAATAGTGATCTGGCAGTTCCGTACTGTACCCAGCGCTCCCCAAGGTGAGGTAGTCACCATCTGTCACCATACACCAGTATTACAGTATTATTCCCCATAGTCCCTGTGCCGTACTTTTCATCATCGTGACTTATTTTATAACTGGAAGTTTCTACTGCTTCATCCCCTTCACCTATTTGCCTCTCTCCCCACCCGCCTCCCTCTGGCAACCACCAGTTTGTTCTCTGTTTTTATCAGTCTGTTTGTTCATTTGTTTTGTTTTTTAGATTCCGCATATAAGTGAAGTCATGTAGTATTTGTGTTTCTTTGTCTGATTTATTTCGCTTAGCATGATACTCTCTAGGCACATCTGTGTTGTCACTAATTCAGGATCTCATTCTTTTTTATGGCTGAGTAATATCGCATTCATATACATACCACATCTTTATCCTTTCATCTGTCAATGGACCACTTACATTGCTTCCATAGCTCGGCTATTATAAATAATGCTGCAATAAACACAGGGTTGCATATATCTTTTTGAATTAGTGTTTTCCTTTTCTTTGGGTGGAATTACTGGATCCTATGGTAGTTCTATTTTTAATTTAATGAGGAATTCCCATGCTCTTCTCCACAGGAGCTGCACCAGTTTGCATTCCCACCAATATTGCATGAGGGTCCCTTTTCTTCTCATTCTCACCCACACCTGTTATTTCTTATTTTTTTTGACACTAGTCATTTGGTCTAGTATGAGGTGATATCTATCTCATTGTGGTTTTCGTTTGCTTTCCTTGATGATAAGTGATGTTGAGCATCTTTTCATGTGTCCATTGGCCATCTGTGTGTCTTCTTTGGAAAAATGCCTGTTCAGGTCCTCTTCCCATTTTTAATCTGATTATGTTTTTTGGTGTTGAATTGTAGTTTTGTATATATTTCAGATATTAATCCCTTATTGGATATATCATTTGCAAATATATTCTTTTATTCAGTAGATTGTCTTTTTGTTTTGTTAATGGTTTCTTCAGAGTTATTTTAGGCCTGATAGAGGGACTCTCTCATAGGTATTTAGTATATCTGGCAAAATACAATGAGTTGGCCTATTCAATAAGAATTTTTTTTCTAAATAGACATCAAAAGAAATGCTCAGAGCTGCTTGAAATTCCCCAAATTCACTCTACTCTCAGGACAGAGCGTCACCTATCACCCACAGGTGGCCCCTGTTGTGTGTGCTCGTAGAATGACATGGCCCCTGCAGTTTCCTGTGACATACATTTCTCCTGCAAGGCCCATTTGAGATGCAGTTTTGAACCTCAGAAATGATTTCCTTGAAATGACTGGTGTACACATCTGCTTGTTAAGGATGAGACATCCATGGGACTCAGCCCCCTATCACAAAGTACCAGCTTTCTCCATATCTGAAATATGTTTCTATTATACTATCCTTGAATTGTGTTTGTTTTTTTATTTTCTGTTCTAGCCTGTGCCTTCATCTTTGTTTTATATTTTCAATTTGAATTTGAGTTCAAGGCAGTCCATAATCATCTCTGATTGAGATACAGTAAGATTTAAATCTAAATTTTTTTTAATTCTAGAGAAAATAAAGAATAAATGGATGTTGCCACATAATCTAGGATAGTACAAATAATTCTGCATTTGTGCTTACCATATAAATACCCCAGAGTTTGTAAGAGAAATAACCAGTAGGGCTGAACGTGATTCAGATTGAAAGCTAAGTGCTCTTGTTGAGTCCTTCAGCTGACAGCCTCCTGGACCCCGTAGTGTTCACCATTGTTCTCTTTCCTTCCCATAAGGTTTGTTCTCTCACAGTGGACCCTGTTAACCACCTGCCTTCCATTCCACAGCTGTGAGCTGCTCATTGAGACCTACCCTCCTTCAAAATACCTCAGAAAAGGGGCGCCTGGGTGGCTCAGTCCATTAAACGTCCGACTTCGGCTCAGGTTCGTGGGTTCGAGCCCCATGTCAGGCTCTGTGCTGACAGCTAGCTCAGGGCCTGAAGCCTGTTTCGGATTCTGTGTCTCCCTCTCTCTCTGATCCGCCCCTGCTCATGCTGCCTCTCTCTCTCTCTCTCAGAAATAAATAAAACATAAAAAAAAAATTAAAAAAATACCTCAGAAAATAGAGACATATTTTTTTTAAGTTTATTTGTTTATTTTGAGAGAGTGAGCAGGGGAGGGTCAGAGAGAGAGAGAGAATCCCAAGCAGGCTGTGCACTGTCAGCGCAGAGCCCAATGTGGGGCTCGAACTCATGAACCGTGAGATCATGACCTGAGCGAAAATTAAAAGTCAGATGCTCAACCAACTGAGCCACCCAGGTGCCCCTAGAGAAGCATTTCTAAGGCTTTCTGTTCAGAGAAGTGGCATGAGAGCTCAGTAATTGTTTATTAACCTTTCTTGTTTACATTCCTCATGTCTCATAGCAAGAAATCCAGTCAAATATTTTTTCACAGTTTAGTTAGCTAATGTTTCAATGATGTATTCTTGAATAAGAAGCCACCCCAGAAATGAGTGGCTTATTTATTTTTCCCTCTCTTGATTCTGGTCCTGTGAGCCAGCGGTTCTCACCAGGGGTCTGTCACGGAACTGCAGTCAGATGGTATTTGGGCTGGACTCCTGTGAATGCTCAGCTGGTCTGTACATCCAGGATGGCTTCGTGGTGTGTGTCTGGTGCCTCAGTGGTGATGACTGGGCCAGCGGAGGGCCGACTGTCACCTCTCTCCAGGCTGCTTTCCCCTGTGACTGGTGTGCATTTCCTCATGAGAGAGCCTTTTGATAGTTGGGCTTCTCCCACAGCTAGCAAGTAAGTGTCCCAAGAGGCTCAGGTGGAAACTGCAAGGGCTTCCTAGGAATCCAGTGTCAGAAGTCCCCACAGCTTCTGCTTCTGCTATATTCCAGGGGAAGGGACTGCAGGGGCTAAATATGGGAGGTTTCTCTCTCCATGGGAATGGTAGAAGTGGAGGGTGTCATCTTTGAAGATTAGCTACGACAGCCAGAAAACCCACTATGTATGCCTACGTTTTATAACGTTCTGCACATTTATTAAAATCTTTGAATTTTACTGTTACTCTCAATATTTGAAGTATCCCTCTTTGACCTAATTGCCTGCTTTGCATCATTTTTTAGAAGTGTATAGGAAATAACCCGTAAGTTGAGTAGGTGAGTCCTAAACTGCAGACCAGCTGCAATGACCAGCTGTAATTGAGTGTTCAGTGTCTCCTTTAGAGGAGTATCTTTCCTTTCCTTTGTCTGGTAAAAATACTACAGAGTATTCAGTGCAAACTTCTTGTAAATGCCTCCTCCTGGCTACTCAAGCCAGCATTTGAGGAAGTGGCTGGAGAAGGCCCAGCTGGAGGAAGAAAGCTCTTGATCTCCAGGTCTGGCCACAACTGAGTTCCCTTGTGACTTGGGCAGGTTATCACACATGCACAACCTTGGTTTCCTCTCTTTGTCTGAATAGATCAGCCAATAAACTTGTAGGTTGTATTAATTTCCCCATCCTTTCTTCTCTCTTTGCGTTTGCCTTCAATTCAAAATTGTTCTCTCAAGTCTTCAAGCAGGTGCAGGTTGGCTTGTGTTTGGCCGCAGAGTATTGGAAGCACAGGATGTCTTCCTGAGGCGGAACTTGTTAGGTCTCTTCACATCCCTGTGAGGGACAGTTCCCCTAACAGGAATTGATAAGGGCACGTTATGTAAAATCTGGAGGGCGAGCCTTTCCCTTTTAGGTCAACATTCAGCCGCAAGCTAAAAGAGCTAATCATCAGAAGCATTTTCTGTGTTCATTCCAGAGAATTTCCCAGGGGCACAATAAATCGAGCCTGCCTGTTTACAGGAACATGGTTATTTAACAAGCTAGTCTCCAAAGCTTAAGAGTCTTTGGTTTCACCCAATCTAACCCAACTTGCTAAATTTGTGAGATTCACTAGAGTCTACTGTAGCTCTATGTATTGTAAGATAATTTTGCATACTTAATATATGAACGGTTTTTGCATACAAGATCCTTGTTACATTTACTACAGAATGATTTTAAGGTTTCATCTCTCTCTTTTTTTAATCTTTCACCTGTGTTTCAATCCCGTCTAATCTGCCCCCTGGTATTTCCAGTTCGCTAATTAAGCTTATTTACACATTCATTCATTCATTGGTTCATTTATTCAGTAAATGTTATTTTACATACCTCTGCAGGCTATATTATATAAGAAAGGTGGTAGGACAACATCTCGCCTTCAACTTGCTGGAGCTGAGGCATCTGTGGCCGTGGCAAGTCAGTAGTGCCATGCGGTGAGCTTCGTAATCATTCGGTGTCAGGACAGTGCCCATTTGATTTGGCGTTGAGGGGTACATTGGTGAGTATAATCAGCAGTGTGAATGGGCTGTGGGATTGAACCTGATTACAGTGTGATGATGACCTGGAAATAGCACTCTTCCTTCTGCAACCTTGACCTTACAGCGGAAACTCAGATCATGGAATCTATTTATAGGGTAAATTCTTTTTGGTCCAGGGATTGCTGAGATTCATGTTTCCTAAATTTTGATAAACATTGCTGAATTCCCCAGAAATATTGCATGTAACGTGTACTCCCCTCAAGCAGTATCTCAGTGACCCAGGCCCTCCCTGGAGTTTTGCAGTGAGGTGGGGAAAAGAAATAGTATCTCGTTGTTTATTTGATTTTACCTCTTCAAGTATGTGTGAGGTTGAGCATTTTTTTAATATTTTGTTTGTTTGTTTTTGAGATTTGTATTTTTCTTCCTTCAAATTTTCTGTGCTTCGTTATTCCGCTAATTTTTTAAATTTTTTGTTTATATGAGCACTTTCTAAATTAAGGAAGTTAGCCCTTTGTATTAGTGATATAAATATTTTCCCTATTTGTTATTTGTTTTTTTAGTTTTGTGTTATGTCTTGCGTAGAAAGAGACAATCCTGTCCATCTTTGAGATCCTCTGTTTGCCAACACTTTCTCGTACAGCTTCCTTTTTATACTTGGAAACTTTGATTCATCTGAAATTAATTTTGTTATAAGGAATGAAAGAAATCTGGCTTCATTTTTTCCAGATAGCTACCTAGTTGCATTGAACATTTTGAGTAATCACTTTACTTGATATGCTACAATTATAGTATAAAATATACCTTTTCCATGTACCTTTATAGTAAATTAAATTCTCATACGTATTTTTAGTCTTTTGTTGTGATCTATTGATGTTTTATTTCTTCTCCAATTGCAAACTGTTATGATACTGAAGCTTCATAATATGTTTTGTTATCTGCTGGGACTAGTTTCTGTTCATTATTCTTTTGGGGGGGAGGGTTCCCTTGATGAAAATCTTTCTTGTCAGAATTTTATGGAGTTTAATAGCATCAGCAAAGTCTTTCTCTTATGTCTTCTGAACCAGTCTTTAAAGGAAGCTCAAAAAAAAAACACAAAACTTAAATTTGAGCTGTTTTGCAAACAACAAATACTAGGAACCTGGAGTATGCCAGTGTCAGACATGATTAACCGTTTTATTCTCTTGATTTATTTCTTCCTTCCTTTTCTTCCTTTCCATCAGCCTTTAGTACATGTTGCTACGCTGGACACTGTGCTTGGCTGGGGGTTTGAGAGCAGAGCTGGCCATTCCCTGATGCGCTGATAGTGCAGCAAGCTTAGCCCTGGCCTTGTGACCAAGCTGCATGCAGATTCAAGCTCATGTAGATTTTATAAGAATCAGAACGCCCTAAAGGGAAAGAAGCCTCCTCAGCAATTTTTTTACATTTTTATCCTAAACCTTTGGACAACCACTGGCCAGAATTGGCAGGCTTACAACTGACCAGTTATTTTTAATTCCTGGAAAATTACAAAGAGAGAATTAGGAGCTATTGCTCTAATCCTCTGCTAATTCTTAAAAATGTTATTAAAATAACTTTTTTACACACTGAGACAATTTTTGAGGGAATATATATACCTGTATAGAACTTGTTGTACAAGGCTGGAGAGCTCTATTCAAAAAACATTTCTCCCCTGTCATGAGCAAACATAGGCTCTGTTGGGATATGCAGAAAGAAAGCAGGCTATGCCTTCTTCCAGGCATCCCTGCTATAACATTTGAACAGACAGGTTTACAGTTTTGCCCTTGACCCTTTTGTCATGACTATCACATAGATGATCCTTTTTTTCCGGTTGATTTCTTGATCACAAATTGCCATTTGTTTTTTTTTTGTTGTTCATTTTTTATATGTTTATTCATTTTTGAGAGAGATGGAGTATGAGCAGGGGAGGGGCAGAGAGAAAGGGAGACACAGAATCTGAAGCAGGCTCTAGGTTCTGAGCTGTCAGCACAGAGCCTGATGTGGGGCTTGAACTCACAAACTGGGAGATCATGACCTGAGCCAAAGTCAGATGCTTAACTGACTGAGCCAACCAGGTGCCCCACCATTTGCTTTTATAAAACAACTCTGTTCTACTATTGGCCACAGACAATACACCTGATCTGGGCATTGGTCAGCTTTGATGGGTTGAAGTTTCTTATGTCCAGGAGAGTTCTGGTGCCAGTCAGAAATGGCTCTTGCCACTTTATACTTTTGGTATAATACATACTTGATCATATTTGTTGTTAGTAAGTGTCATAAAAGTCCAGTTCAACGGATTTTGCAGGAAAATTGAGGGAACCGAGAAGCAGTAAGAAGCACAGACCCTTTTGAGCACCCATACCAATAAAATAGAAACCAAGAGACGATGTGTTCAGGCTCAGTGGGGTGTTCTCCTTCCCCACCCCCACCCCGGGAAGCTCAGGGCTACCAGTGGGGGCTCCCTGCAGGCCTTTGTGCCCTTGGGACCCCTGCCGTCTTCCAGGCTGTCTCCGGTTAGGGCAGCCACTGGGGAAAGTCCATGGACGGTCTCCTCTGCATCCACAGGTTCCTTGATAGTTCACTTCCAACCCAGAAGGCTTCTCTATTTTTACAAAGCATACCTTACCCCTTCAGTTAATTTGTTGCCGTGAAAAGCAAATAATATTTTTCAATGGATCAAAAGCATCGGAATGCTTTCCAAACATTCCAGAGCACTATTTTCTGATGTGACATTTGACTTACATAAAAGCAGCCTGTTAGTGTCCTGCATAAAATATACACTAAGGACAGCTTTTGTAATATAGTAAATAAGATCCCACACAAATTCCACTTGACCCACTGTGTGGGGAGTTCACATAATAAAATGAAGAATGCTGCCTGTTTGTGTCCCGACCAATGTGGAGTTTTCATCCTACCCCGCATCTGTCAAAGCCATGTTCAAATACAGAAATGATGTATTTCAACATACTGATAAAAAATGGACACTCTTTCTTCATCAGACAAAACACACACGTTATAGCTGTTACCCTTTATATTTTAGTACGGGTGAAGGCAAGCTCTAAGTATAGCTAATGACTTAAGCTAATGCCAAATTTGTGAGAGAAAATGTGTCGAAATTCAGGTGGGTGTTGCCAGAAGGAACAGGAATGTGGGGGGCAGGACTAGGTGACATGGGGATAAAGTCATGCCAGACATAAACACGCATTTCAAAGAGAAGACTTAACAGAGAATTAATATGCTGCTATTTTTGAAAAGGAGAAGGTGTCAGATCACTGAAAGAAAAAGAAAAAACACAGAAAGCTGTATTTACATCAAAGTTTATGTCAGCTGTATGTTTCCTTTCTTCCAACTGCCAATGGTAAAAGTATGCTTTCACAATTGCTGTTTGCAAATTTATTTGTCTCCTTACCGAGTAAGGGCAGACAGCTTCTCTTCTTGTTTCCCGCAGTTCCTAGCTCAGTGCCTGGTGATTGGAATTGATCTGAACAGGACTGGGCGTCGGTTCTCTTGAACACTCTGCTTCTATTTTGTTAGCTATTCTGTTTATCTCTCTGATAGAGCCCCTCACTTCTCTTCTTTCTGTAAGTCATTTCTCCAACAGCTTTGAGGCTCCTGAGTGCCAGCTACATTTATTGTTTGGAACCAGTGATGATGTCTAGTTCAGACCTTGTGTGACACATTGTCACACGTGTGTGTCTCTACTAATCCACCTTGCAGCCACGGCTCCTATGTTTGTTCCTTTTCCTCTTGGTGCATGTGAGAGGTTTTCAGATGCTGCACATATTTATACATATTCATTCATTTGTTTGACAAATATTTATCAAAACGATACTTACAAATAAAAAATGCACTACTGAACGTGATGATATTCTAAGTTCTTTACAGATATTCAGCAGCTTTCTTTTTCAGAGACTCTCTAGGGGCCCCTGGGTGCTCAGTCAGTTGAGTGTCTGACTCTTGATTTGGGCTTAGGTCACGTTCTCAGGGTCATGGGATCGAGTCCCACATTGGGCTCTGCTCTGAGTGTGGAACCTGCTTCAAATATTCTCTTTCTTTCTCTCTCATGCCCCCATGCTCCTCTCCCCTGCATGTGCTCTTGAAAGAAAGCAAGCGAGAGAGAGAGAGAGAGAGAGAGAGAGAGAAGGCACTTTGAAGTTGAAGGAAGGCGTGGTCCATTCTTTTGGGAAAATAGTGTTTTGAAGTTGCATTGGACCTGGTAGAGTAAAATTTTCAACATGGAATGGAATAAACTGCACGGTTTACATTAACATTTGTAAAAATCACCTATTTCATTCCCCATGCACTTAGGCTTTAAATCCATGTTCTTTGTTAATATCTTCTTGGCATCAGCTACTGTCAGTAACTGCTGAAAATAGTAATTCTTAACCCTATTGGAGAGATTGGTGTTGATTTGTGTAGCTAAAACCAAGAAAAACAGCCATCTAATCTTGTCCTTGAATAGTTTCCTGGTCTTGTTACATATTGCTTATCCTGTTAAAATTCACTTGTAGATTCCAACTCAAGCAAATTTTGAAGATCTTGGCTCCCATGAGTGGTCATGGTTTCCTGAACCTTCAGATCACAGTTGGAAGGGCCGTCTTGTGTCACTCCTGGGGATGGAGAAGAGGTTATTTTAAGCCTTCCAAATTTAGCTTAATGTTTGCTTTTTTATTATATAACTTTTGTTAGTTTAGAAAAGAGATTTGCAAACAAAATACAGGTGTTTTTAAAGTAAAAAATTAAAAGGGGTAAAAAAAATCAGCATACAAACGTTCACCACTTAGTACTCTGTAAAGCAAAGGAAAAACACTGCCAAGTATAAAGGATCTGTAGGAGAGAAAGCACCCTACGTAGCTAACTGATAAGAAATGTGGGGATAGTGATAAGACAGGCAGGAACTCAAAGATGTATCACCAGCACCACAAGAAAGATCTGGAAGCCTTCAAGTTCAGATTCTGGATTCCTTCCTCCCCTGCCTTTATTCCTCTTATTTGGATGAAGGCCCGTGGAATTGAACCTGGCC